CCTGCCACGGAATTGAGATCAATATAAAATAGAAAGAAATTTAGTTTGAGATTACATCTTTCTAAATTCTATAACAATTTTTTAAAAAGTTCATATCTCATGAACGACAATTATTAAAATTAAAAAAGAAAAATTCGACGAATAGCCGGCTAAGGCCGGCAGCATCTAAGAGCTATTGAATTTGAAGCATTATAATTTGTTTGTATCTTTTGGAGTTATGAATAATATTCATCATACAAATAAAATATGTGAAGCATAGGCGAAGTCGTGCTTCCAATAGTGATATATGTACAAGGTCCTATAATTGCTATTAGCTATGAATAAAAAAGATTATCCCTTAAGCATTCTATTTAGAAAAACTTAATAGGCATTGTATCCTTAAGCAACTACCTTGACTTTTAATACGAAGACAAATGGAGTGGGTGGGAACTTGGGACATGATGAAGTAAACAATGGCGTCGAAAATTAAAAATGTATAAACTAACTAGAGGACATTAGTTTGTTTAAAAAAGAAAGAAAAAACCTTGTAAATTATAAAATTTACATATAGTCATGTCATGTTACCAATTTATAAGTGTACATGTATTTATTTATTAATTAATATACTCTCGGTCCATGAAATATCAACTTTGTCATTCGTTCATATTTATTTTACTGAAGCACCATTTCACACACCTAGCCTAGTATCAATGATTTTCAAATAGGACTGTGCGATGTTTTTTATTTTTTTGGATCAATAGAAATGGGAGATTCGAATTTGAAATATCTTCCAACATTAGAAGAAGGTTAAAATGACGTGTTAAAATCATTATCTGAGATTACGGCAACCAAATGGGCAGGAGTAGTTTATTGGTTATTTGAATATTTACCATTATACTATCAAGTAATTTCTTGAGAGTATCGTTAAGCTATTGTCTTTAGCTATAAATCATATTATCATGAGTTAACCATAGTGTAAGTTCTATATAAATATAAATATTAAAACATATGCAATGGGTTTGCAGCTCAAGTGGTTAACAGCATGAATATTTACCATTATACTATCAAGTAATTTCTTGAGAGTATCGTTAAGCTATTGTCTTTAGCTATAAATCATATTATCATGAGTTAACCATAGTGTAAGTTCTATATAAATATAAATATTAAAACATATGCAATGGGTTTGCAGCTCAAGTGGTTAAAAGCATTTATCTGTGCATCCGAGGTCCTAGGTTCGATTCCCCCTTTCTCAAGATCACTTGTATAAATAAATAAATAATATATATATATATCAACAAAACTTGACCTTTAATATGAAGACAAATGGAATGGTTGGGTACATGATAAGGAAAGAAATGGTGTCAATTTATTTATAAATGAAAAATTGGAAACTTGTTCATAAACTATCTCATTCAACTAATGAACAGGGTGGGAAAGCATCGTACCAATAATTGAGTATATAGAACATGATTCAAATGGGGACCGGATGTATTTGGCCAATTACTTTCACAGTACATAGACAAGATCATATGCTTGAAGACAGTAGATGAGCTATCAATTTTGTTCCTTCCCTTTTTTTTTTTTCAATTTATTTAAGGACACAATTAAGTGGTGATCACACTTGGATTTACAGAAGCATATCCGAGCAGTTCCACATTACTTTCAAATAAGGCCATGCTTTCTTGGCTCATAGTCAACCAAGCTTCAATTCCATTGCAATCTCCTTTATCCATCAAAACAATTATATTCTTAATTGCAATGCTAATTACACTCACCCATAATGGCTTTCCCCATCCGAAATCGGCTTCATAGAAAGGAAACCTACACCAACTTGTGCAGCTATAAATCTCCATTTCATCATCATTTTTCAGCTTACTGTGCTTATCTTTGATCCCTTGCCATGCCTCATTAGAATCAAAGACAAGTTTTTTAGCATACTTTTCTTTCAGTTCGTCGATTCCTTCCCTCAATTTAGCAACCAAGTCTTTTAGATCTATGGTACCCTCTTCAGCCTTCGATGTAAAAGAGCCCACAACATTCCCAACCAAGTTTTCTGGCAAGGGTGGCACAACCCTTTTGCGCAAGTTCACATCTTGACAGAACACACATTGTCTTTGAGTCCCCAACTTTGATCTTGATGACGCTTCCATTGCACATTTCCAAATGAGTGCTGAAACCGCTTCTACACGTGTAGGTTTGGGCACGACTGAACTGGTTGATTCAGATTGGAGAGCAGCGATCTTTGACGCATCAAACACAAACCTCTTTGTTATGCAGTTTTCTGCTTTGATAACTTCCCTGGCCAATTTATTTAAGGACACAATTAAGTGGTGATCACACTTGGATTTACAGAAGCATATCCGAGCAGTTCCACATTACTTTCAAATAAGGCCATGCTTTCTTGGCTCATAGTCAACCAAGCTTCAATTCCATTGCAATCTCCTTTATCCATCAAAACAATTATATTCTTAATTGCAATGCTAATTACACTCACCCATAATGGCTTTCCCCATCCGAAATCGGCTTCATAGAAAGGAAACCTACACCAACTTGTGCAGCTATAAATCTCCATTTCATCATCATTTTTCAGCTTACTGTGCTTATCTTTGATCCCTTGCCATGCCTCATTAGAATCAAAGACAAGTGTTTTAGCATACTTTTCTTTCAGTTCATCGATTCCTTCCCTCAATTTAGCAACCAAGTCTTTTAGATCTATGGTACCCTCTTCAGCCTTCGATGTAAAAGAGCCCACAACATTCCCAACCAAGTTTTCTGGCAAGGGTGGCACAACCCTTTTGCGCAAGTTCACATCTTGACAGAACACACATTGTCTTTGAGTCCCCAACTTTGATCTTGATGACGCTTCCATTGCACATTTCCAAATGAGTGCTGAAACCGCTTCTACACGTGTAGGTTTGGGCACGACTGAACTGGTTGATTCAGATTGGAGAGCAGCGATCTTTGACGCATCAAACACAAACCTCTTTGTTATGCAGTTTTCTGCTATGATAACTTCCCTGGCTGGTGGTTGTGTGGAGTTAGAGAAATCTATTGGTGGAAACATAGATGCAGCACCAAATTTTGGAAGCACTAGTAGTACCTGATCACTGTCTCTGGACCCAAAGGCTATTGTGGTCCAACACTTGATGAAAGTGGATAGTGTGGATGCATCAGCAATCCTATGTGAAATGCTCAACCCAATTGTCATTCCACCACACTCAAAACAGTTGACTTGTACAAGAAGCAACCGGCCTGTGCTTGCTTCTTTGGATTCATATTCAATTGGAAGGAATTGTTTCAACATCTGAGCATCTGGGTGTTCCAAAATCTCCGATAAGGAACAATTGATTCGTGCTTTGACAAATTCAGCTCCTGCATCATTGCATTCAACCATGGCTTTACCTTCAATAATCCTTCCTGCTAAAGGGCAGAAGTGAGTGAGAGTTTTGCTTAATGATTCAATTAGATGCTGACATCTTTCATTGATGGCCACGACATGGTCATGGTGACCAGTTCTGACCTTACTAGTAGAACTAGTATTGGGATAGTAGAGTAGGATTGGGATGTAAATTACAATAGCTGTCTGATCGAAAAAAGAGAGCTTAAAACTTCTCAAGTGAGGAGGAGTTGCGGAGGATGGTTTAATTGTTTGCCTCTCGATAATTTGTACCTTGGTTTCTGTGGCCATCTTACTTTGCTCCAGCTGATGCCTTCCTGGTTCATGTAAACACTTGTGGGCTAATCATATATAGACCCTCCGGTATACATATTTGTTTAGCAGCAACTCTATGCAAAGTACCAAAGTCTACTATTGTTAGCTTGACCCCATATCGTCCAAAAATAATACTGTGCTAACTAGTCCTAAGGTATGCATAATGAGCTAGTAATTGAAAATTATATCTGTTTAGTTGAAAGCAACACATTGTCCATCGTTCCACATGGAGAACGACATCAGACCAACAATTCAAAGTAACAAGAGAGATCATCAATTTTCCAACATAGCATAGGTGTGAATTCTAAAAGCAAGAGGAGGACTTTTTGGTACTAATTAATAACAGATGGCACTCTGACTCAGATACAGAGAAGCATGTGCAAGCTTCGAGAATCATGACGATATTTCCTTTATCAAACAAGTTCGTCACTTTAGAAATGGTACTTGAGATGCAGAAGACGCAGATTAATTTTTTTGTATACTAATTAATTACACGACACTCGGATTCAGAGAAGCATATGCAAGCATCTCCTGGTTGCTTTCGATTATGGCCATATCTTCGTCTTCCAAAGTCAAGCGCACTTCTATGCCAATCCCATCACTTACATCCACCAATGAAATGATGTTCTTGATTTCTACAGTACTAGGGATGCTCATCCATGATGGCTTTCCCCATCCAAAATCGGCTTCATAGAAGGGAAACCTACACCAACTAGTGGAACAATAGGTGTCTATATCAACCTTTCCAACGAGCTTTGATAACTCAATGCACTGTTGGAACACATCCTCCCTACTAATTCCATTACCATATTTTTCCTTAAATTCTTCCAAGCCCTTCCTCAATTTAGAAACCAAGCTTTTAACATCATGTTCTACTTCCCTCTCCTCTGTCTTTGCTACAGAGTACCCCACAAGATTTCCCAATAAGTTTTCCCCTGGGGCCTGCGGCAATATCTTCCTCATGTTCACAAATTGACACCACACAGATGGCCTTGCAAAATTTGAGTTTGATCTTGATGCTTCCATTACGCATTTCCAAATGAGCGCTGACACTACTTCAACACGAGTTGGGTTTGGCACCGCAGCACTGGCAACTTTTGACTTAAGAGCAGCAATCTTGGAGGCATCAAACACATATCTCCTTGTTATGCAATTTTCCTTGACAAAGTCAATGGAAGGTTGGGGTGAATTGAGGAAATCCAGAGGTGGGAAAAGAGATGCTGCAGCACCAAATTCTACAGGAGGCACAACATGGTCAGTATTGGCTGAGCCAAGGGAAATTGCAGCCCAGCTATTAATGAATTTGCAGAGCGTATAAGCATCAATGATCTTATGTGAAATGTTGAGTCCAATTGCCACCCCACCACATTCAAAGAAGTTGGCTTGGACTAGTAGAAGATAGCCTGTGCTAGATTTACAAGAGATTTCAAGTTCCCTATCTCCTTCGGAATCAAACCAGAAAGTTTATTATAAAAGAGACAGAGATGGGTAGGAGCAACACAAAGAAGAGACTAACCGCAAACTGGCCAGGAAAGAAAATAAACAAAAAAGACCCAAGCACGCCGTATCATCTCAACATTGACAAAAAAACCTCCTATAAAAACATAGTCCTTGAGACAGGTGGAGAACCAAAGATCAGTTAAGGGGAGAACGAAGAAAACACCATGTAACAATAACAAAATTGGCTTAGCCACTTAACTTGAACACGAGGATCATGCATAAGAGAATTCACCAGATACCAAGCCCACGAATGCTCCAAGAACACATTAAGGGGGGTGTATTCAATTCTAACTTTTAATGACTTTTAATGAGTTTAAAAGTCTGGAGGTATTCAATTGTGACTTTTAAATAGTCTTTGAAAGTTTAGTTGTATTCAATTGGTAGTTTTAGGGGGGTGTATCCAATTCTAACTTTTAAAGACTTTTTTTAAGTGAGTGACTTTTCAAGAGTTGACAGATTCTTAATGACTTTTACATACTTTATAAAGTAAAGTGACAAACTTTCATATACTTTTGTCATAGAGTTT